GCTAGAAGAACTGCCTCATAGTGAATTATCAAGCTATAGGCATTAACTTGAAAAGTAAATAATTATTTTTTTCTTCTTTTCTTTTCAACCAATGCTTTTGTACAAATTAATAGTACATTTCTATGTTAATACAACTAAATAAAAATATAAATAATTCCAAACAGGCTATTACAACAGTTGTTGCAAACAGAACCAAATTAGAAAAAGTCAAGTAGCTTGTGTTCCCCTCTCCCCGCCCCCATAACTAATCCTTCATTGCAAGATATTCTTACTTTAATTTTTATTTTCCCTATGCTTGAATGCTTTTATAAACTTTTCCAGAATAGTTTGTTTTCTATTCAAGGATCCTTTCAGAAATATATACAACTTCAGTTGTTGGGATCCAGCCCCAGCAGGTCCAGGGATTCCCAAAGGTGAGGATGGAGTCAGCAAAGAATGAAGGGCACGGAGGCAGAGTTCAGATGATCAGCAAAGCCAGGTTCTCTAGCTAGGTTCTTTATTCTGTTACATCTGTATACCATTTGATTTTAACCCTATCCTTTCTATCCCAAAGGTTTAGGGTGTTTGTTATCTCCATTCCAAGGTCACTACTCTACTGTTCTGTTAAGCTACAAGGAAGTAACTGAAGGAGATTATCCTAAGTAAAGGTTATGTAACTTAAGCATGATTGTTCGTAGTTAAGGTGATTAACTACCCGCCTGGTACTGAGTTAAGGGGTTTTACTGATTTATTCCCTTGCTTAGTCCTGTTAATCCCTAACTCCAGGGGAAAATCCCTACCTGGGGAAACAACCTTTCTTGGAGAGGTGACCCTTGTTAGAACACATAGCGCTAAGAAGGAGAGCAAACATATTAAGAACAGTATGCCATATACACCAGGTCCCTTGAAACATATTCTGTGCAGATGTTTCTTCCCTGCAGCGACTGTGTCAAGCAGCAAGGATGGACCGGCTCCCGGCATTCAGTGTTTTATTCTCTTTAAATATAATTCATTGTTTTTATTTTTTAGTAACTTGTTTTGAACTTTTCTATTTAGAGAGTATTGTTCATGATAAGGTCTACCTAATCAGCCATTGTTTTCCTATATTTTATCAGTAGGAAGAAATCGTCCTTCAAGCCATATAGATGGGAAAATAAAGGACTCTGATTCGTATCTATGTTGGCCTTAGGCAACAAGTAGGCTTGAATCCCAGCTACATGTATCTGTGGGTAGAGGGTGGAAGCCAAGAATAGGATGATTGAATGACAGAGATTGATCATTTTAAGAACAGCATTTGTTAAAAAGCATTATGGTACAGGCATATGATGAAATAAAATAAAACTATTAAAATAATGATCTCTGTTGATCTACAGAAGTGCAGAATATAACAAGTAAAAATAATAAACTACAAAAAGGCATGTAAAAATGGCTCTATTCGTGTTTAAACACACATATTTATGCATAAACATTTTATTAATAGCATTTATCCCTGAAGATGTGATTGAAGGTGATTTTTGTCTTTTTCTTTACACTTGTCTATATTCTCTGAACTTTTCATCTGTATTAATTTCATCCCAAAAAAGGCTATAATTCTATTTTCATGTCTAAGTAGTTATAAACTTTTAAACAGAAACAGATATAAAGTGATTTAATCAAGTAATTATGAACTCAATTACATGCTGTTTATATCCCTCGTATCCTCATTCCCACTCTCCTGATTAAAAGTTGATTATTTTTTTTGCCTAATAACAAAAGATAATCACTTTCTAAGGCAGCAGTTTTGTATCAGCCAGCAATATGTTTGTAATCCTTTTCTATCCTTGTATTAAAGCCATCCCTGGTTGCTCTCAAGCTGCCTTTATAAGAAAAGACATGCCCTTCCACTAATGTGTGGACTGTTATGTTCCAGAAGGCTAACGTGGCTGATGGATCAGCTGACTCTGCTTTTCTGAGCTGGCACTTGGTCTCCTTCTTTCAGATAAAACTTACCTCAACATACGGAACATGTAAAAGGAAAGAGCCTCAGCTTTCTAGGCCTGAGACGCGTCAGCCATGGGTTCTCCCGAGGTTTTCGGGTTTCCGTTCTCTCTCCTGATAAATTTTTTTCTTGCTAGAAATGCTAACCTTGCCACCACAGTAACCTATAGCATTGGATAACTCTTTACATATTCTAAAATGCCCCCAGTAAATCAGACTCTTAGGGCTATCAGTAATTAAAACTAAATGTTTTGTTGTATATTCTCTAGTTAGAAATGGTATTCTTTTTCTTTAATTTACACTTGTTAACATATATTTCATTTTTTAAAAATGTACAATTCAGTGGTTTTTATTATATTCAGAGTTGTACAATCTAACAATTACCACGATCTAATGTTAGGATCTTTCCTTTTTCTTTCTTTCTTTTTAAAAAGACATGCTCAGCCCTAGCTGGTTTGGCTCAGTGGATAGAGCCTGGACCTGCGGATGGAACGGTCATTACAGTTATGAAGTAGCAACAAAAATAATTTTACGGTTGGGGGTCACCACAACAGGAGGATCTGTATTAAAGGGTCTCAGCATTAGGAAGGTTGAGACCACTGATCTAAGGTTTATTTCTACCTCAATTACTGGCTCCTACCCAGTCTGGGCCTGGTCCCGGCTTGGGCAGGAGGCAACCAACTGATGTGTTTCTCTCACATCAATATTTCTGTCCATTTCAGTCTTTTCCACTCTCTCTAAACATCAATGGGAACATATCCTCGGGAGAGGATTAAAAAAACAAACAAAGGTGGGTAACCTGGTCAGAAGGTCAAATCTCCAAAGTGCATGCAAGCTGCTCCTCCCAGAGGGTCCGGATTGAATGTCCTCGAGCATTTTCAGGAAGGCCTGCAGGGATGGTGCCTCCACATTCTGGAAGGTGTTCTGGACTCTGCCGAACAGGATGAAGTATTTCACCTCCAGCCAGGTGAACCCGAAGTGGTTCTCATCGATCAGGATGAAGACTCCAGGGCAGCGCCTGGTGGAGGCGAAGCCATGTCTGGTACCAGTAACAGTGTCCACGCCATAGAAACACATGCTGCAGGTTCGGGGGTAGTTCTGGTCTTTTCGGTGCACGCCCACAGGCAGAACAAACGGGAGAGGCTGCTCCTCCGAAGCTGCAGCCCCGGACTCCCCCATGCTGGGCTGGGCAGGGCTCTGCTGGCCATGGCCCTCGCCTTCCTCAGTCCCGTCCTCTTGCTGCTGCTGCTGCTGCTCCTGGATCACCTGCTCGTCAATCTCCTGGACCACGCGGGCGAGCTCGTTGAAGTTGCGGAAGATCTCTACATCTGGCAGCTGGATGCGGCGCTTGAGGTGGATCTCTAACTTGTGGGAGTCTCCCGTGATCTTCGTGACCCTGGCATACTTCCCATGGAAGCTGAGCATGACAATATTTAGGCCGTAGGGATCGTACTTGACTTGGAAGAGGCCTGGCCTGATGAGGTCGTCCGGGTGGCTCAGCGGGAGGTAGAGGCAGAGGTAGGTCAGGCAGTCATACTGTCTGTCCTCCTGCACCAGCCCCAGCCCCGAAGTTGCGGAAGATCTCTACATCTGGCAGCTGGATGCGGCGCTTGAGGTGGATCTCTAACTTGTGGGAGTCTCCCGTGATCTTCGTGACCCTGGCATACTTCCCATGGAAGCTGAGCATGACAATATTTAGGCCGTAGGGATTGTACTTGACTTGGAAGAGGCCTGGCCTGATGAGGTCGTCCGGGTGGCTCAGCGGGAGGTAGAGGCAGAGTTAGGTCA